TTTTTGAAAGAATTTTGTTCAAAAACAATTATTTTAATTTAATAATTACTTAAAATTGTTAATAATATTATTTATTAAGTTAATGAGTTAGTTTAGGCTAGGTCAGGGTAGGTTTGACTAGTTATTTCCTTAATTTAAGTGAATTTAATTTAAGTGCGGGTTATACATGAGTGCGGGTAATGCACAAGATTTTAGGGTATTTTATAATTTTTAAAACAGTATTTCTATGAGAAAAATGCCGACATTTACAGAAAATATTGGTTCACATTTGGGTTTATTGGCGGAAGTGTTGGGAAATGTGTTGCGATTGAGAAACCGGTGCCGAAGTGAGCGCCGTCTGGACGGACACGTTGTGGTGATTACGGGCGCCAATCAGGGCATCGGGAAAGAGACCGCTTATCAACTCTCATTTCGGGGCGCAAAGGTTTGTACTAATTGTATATTTAAATAATAATTATCAATTAAATACTTATGCATGTTTAAAATTAATAATGATATCAATGTTTATTAATTTATAAAAATATTTTTAATTAATAGATAATCATTGGATGTCGTGATGAGAAGAGAGCCGAGAATGCGATCAAAGATATAAAGCAAAGGAACCCAAAGGCAGACATATATTCACTTCCGTTAGACTTGTCTTCACTTCAATCCGTCCGTCAATTCGTGACCGAAATCACGAAACGGGAGACAAAAGTAGATATACTTATAAACAATGCGGGCATCGCTTGTGATACCGAACAGCAAACTGAGGACGGGTTTGAAATGGCTTTCGGGACCAACCATTTGGGTAATTATTAAATGATTTTAAATACTATTATATAACATTTTTTGTTGTACACTTTAGGCCACTATCTGCTCACACTATCAGTGTTGCCATTACTTCGAAACGCCCCGAAAGCCCGGATAATAACCGTGTCGGCGGGTTCACACGTTTTTGGCAAAATTAATTTTGAAAATATAAACCTCCGGAACGGGGCTATCAATACCAAGGATGCGGTCTCTCAGAGCAAACTGGCCAACGTGTTGTTTACCCGGGAGTTGGCCCGTAGGCTGTGTCGGGACACTACGGTCACAGCCTATTCGCTACATCCCGGACTGGTTCATACCGACTTTCACCGCAATCTACAATCGCCGGCACTGAGAACTCTGTTCCGACTTATCTGTCAGTTGTTTGGGTTGTCTATTGAGAGGGGATGTCAGACATCGCTGTACTGCGCCCTCGAAGAGGACTTGGATAACGAGTCGGGTTTTTATTATGAGTGAGTGTTTAGTTTTGCTTATTTTGTTTGTAGTTTTTATTTATGTTGTTATTAAATGTGATTTAAATGTATAGCAATTGTCGACGAGTGGATGCAATGGTGTCGACGGCTACTGACGATCAAAGTGCGCAACAGTTGTGGCAATTGAGTGAAGAGTTGGTCCGACTTGAAGAGCACCTCAAACTTCCCAAACATTTTTAGGCCGCGAAATGATTTCCAAAATGTAATTATTTTAATCATATCCTTATTTATATCAATAATTTTATTTAAATTTATTTTATAGATTTCAAGTTCTGTAATAGTAGAAAACATTTTTGTTTAATTGTTATTATTCAATATTTAATTGTATATTTAATTTTATAACTATTGTATTGTATTTTAACGTTACATTACACATTGCATTAACTGCTCCCAGGTTTTTGGATTATTTTATAAATTTTACAGTTAATTAACAAATAACATTTATTATTTTTAAAATAATATATTAATAAATTGAACTACAATGTTATATGTTATAACTTATAACAGCTTTAATAAAAGTGCTTCAATTTGTTTCAAACATTTATTCCATTAATTAATTTGTAAATTATAAATCAATTAAAACTAATTTATATTTAATTATACGATTGGCCAATCAGCGCAATTTTGCTTAACTAAAATAAGTTATTGAAATATGTTTTGCTTGCTTATTAGTATATTTACTTGTTAAATACTTTTTTGTAAATTTACCACATTTATTTAATAACTCGTGCCAGCAACGTAACAACCATTTTTACGCTCTAGAATTTAAACTTTAAATCATTAACATTTTCAATACTATATTTATAAACTAATCAAATCTGTTAAATTGAGATTATAAATTTTATTGGTTTTAAGTTTATTATGATTTAATTTATGTAATTTTAATGGTTAGGTGAATGATATAAAAATCAATGTTATTTATCTAAAAAATAGTAATTTTTTAATAAATATGATTGTTACAAAAAATATTGACTTGGCTATTAATTTGTTTATATGGTGTTTATTTTACATTGATGAATATATTGCTACCCAATTTAATGGTATGTCATTAAGCTATTAATAATATTTTATTTGTACATTAACCATTGTATAGATTATGCTGTATCTCAAATACAATCTTAAATAATAATTAAGGCATAAGTGGTGGTATAATTCCGGGACTCCTAACGGGGTTACCAAAAGGGGTTTTTGATTACACCAAAGAATATTCTCCTGAATTAAACCAAATATACGGACAGTATTTGACAGACACTGTATTTCCTGGCAATTGTACGCCAGAAACGGTTGGAAATATCGCCGACATTACCGATCGGGACATATGGGCGGCTATAGAGGTGGCCAATCAGGGGGTCAATAGTCAGTGTCAAATGGACAGGCAATTGGTGGCCAATAATCCATATTTGGGAAATTTTAGTCATTTCATAACCGATGCTAATTACAGAACCAAATTCAATGAGCTGGTCACAAGAAACCTAGCCCAAATGTAAGAATGCTATTATATTCAATAATACAGGATTGTATCTAATTTAATAATCTAATATTATAATCTATAATCGTACGTTTTCTATAATGGTACTAATAAAATTTATTAAATAGATGAGTATAATGTAAAAATATATTTAAATAAACGCCACTGTATACTTTTGCTTGAGTTTTTGCCCCATTACCAAGAATATACAGTATGTAACACAACGAAACGATAAAGTTTATACCATAGATCAGTTAAGACATGTTTTAACTAGATTTTTTGTATAACTATTGTATCTCATATCTGATTAGAATTTACTAAAATGTCACAAATCATATTTTATTTATACTATTAGGAAATGTCTGTCAAAATACGATACTGTAATGAAATTACCAGGCTTTCGAGCACCGGGTGTTGTCGATACAAACAACGACCAGTTTTGTGACCTGCAATACTCTCAGAGCCCTGGTATCCGGTGTAACCCTAGCTATAGATACCGGCGCTTCGACGGCAAGTGCAATAACGAGCGACAAACCAATTGGGGCGCAGCTTTCCATACAATGCGACGGCTATTGCCGCCAGCGTTTGCCGACGGCGTGAACGCCGAGCGACGGCGCGCGGCTGACGGACGGCAACCGTTGCTCAACGAACGGCTTATAAGCAATCAGTTGTCGGCTACGCGGCCACAAATTGACCAAAAAGACAAGCTCGTCCGATCGTCGACTCATATGATATGGGGTCAAATGATAGCTCACGACACCATTAAAGCCCTGCAATATTTTGGTGGTGCGTTACCGTGTTGTCCGCCCTCACAGCACCCGGAGTGTCCCTCTGTCTACACTCCTGTACCCTCTGATCAGCTGCTCCTGGTGTACAATCAGACCTGTATTGCGTACTCACGGTCTATGGCCGGAAATACCTGTCGCTTAGGTAAATGATATTGTTTAAGTTTTAAATATATCTACATGTATGTACAAATAAAGGTTAACGATCTAATATATGACCAAACTTACAGGTGCCCGGGACCAGATTACGGCCACTACGCCCGTTATGGACCTGTCGGACTTATATGGGTTTTTTGATGCGCGGGCCCGTAGTTTACGCACATTTAGCGGGGGTCAGCATGTTATTTTACTTGCCAATTAAGTTTTATTTATTCTAACCATGTGTTTATTAAATTTATTGCTCATAACAGGAAAATTGCAAACAAATAAATCGACAAAAGGAGACGATATAATGCCCGAAGCGATACTACCCCGCGATCAGGACATGTTTGATCTGAACCCATGCACACCACCGGCGGACAGGCCATGGCTCGGGTGCCTAAAAGGGGGCGATGGGAATCGCGTGAATCAGCAGGTGGTGATCAACACAATGTTAACCACGTTACTTTTGCGCCACAATCAACACTGCGATGGTCTGGCGCTAATCAACCAGCACTGGACCGATGAGATACTTTACCAGGAAGCTAGGTGAAAAATAATAGTTTATAATTAACATAAGTGATAATTATAAGTTATACTCGAATTTTATTCGTAAACTATGAGCTGAAAACGCTATGGAATTGAGTTTTCTGGTATAACAATTATTTATCATGTTATAGTTTGTCTGATACAAAAAATTAAAAGTAATTTATTAGTTTGAAATCAAAATGTATCAATGCCCAGATTCTGCCGATTTATGGCCAGTTCTATAGTCACTGGTCATAACTCAGCGATCTCTGGGCATTGGTACATTTTGATTTCAAACAAATGTTTATAATGCTTATAGATAAAACTCGGTTGTTTCCGGACATTGGCTGATTTTAACTCGTTTGTTTGTATCAATTCTATTTTGTTAGGCGTCTATTACTCGCAGAATACGCGCAAATAACGTACGCTGAATATTTGCCCTCGACATTTAACAAGAAGTTTATGGATTTCTTCGATCTTAACGTTAGACCTCGTGGTAAATTCAGTGAATACAACCCCGATGTTAGTCCCGACACAGTGCAAGAGTACGGTATAGCTGCATTTCGATTTGGTCATTCCAACATTAACTCAGTATTTCCGGTACTCAATGGAGATCCGTTGAATACATCCTCATTTTTATTGAGATTCAATTTTGAACAAATGTCTCAACTATGGGACGGAAATGTAAGGCTAACTACCAATATGCAGTAATTTGATTATGATCTATTATTATAATTAATTTAATGTTTAACCCTTAATTATCAAACCAGAGAAAAGGCATAATTAAGGGCCTGTGCGAGAAGTTCGAGAAAGTGACCGAGTTTCATTATGTGGACGATGTGAGGGATTATGTGTTTTTTGACCCTGCCCATCCCAGAGTCGATGATTTGTTTAATAGAGACATATTCCGGGCCCGGGATCACGGGTTGGCCCCATATGTGTATTACGTCCAGTACTGTACGGGTCGTCACATTAAACGCTGGTCTGATTTGCAGCCTTTAATACCGATTGATATCCTGAATGAGTTGCGCAATGTTTACAAGTAATGTAATTTGATATATTGTGAAATATAATTAAACATATGCACAACACAACATTTCTAATTTAAACAACTAAATACATTTAATTAAAACAATCTACATATTTAATTATTTGGCATACAAATTATACATAAAAATGATTATAGATTTTATATAAAATATGTTACCCTAAAATACTTCCTCATACCATAGCTGGGAAACTATGATCTAATAATACATTAAGATAGGATAGTTGTGATTGTAACTATAATTAGACATGTATAGCTTAATTATATTAATATATACAATAATTTAAAAACATTTGGTATTTCTAACCATATCAGAGATTTCCGTGACATCGACCTAATAGTGGGCGGTTTGGCCGAGACTGTGATGGAGAGCTCGACGTTAGGGCCAACATTGGGCTGTATTAATGGCATACAGTTTCATCACTTTAAATTTGGTGATCGATTTTTCTATGAACACTCGTCTCAGGCAGGATCGTTTAGTATTGGTAAATATTAATTGGGAATTACAATTTGATTGATTGATTGATGAGAATTAATTACATTTTCAGCTCAATTGGATAATATTAAGTCGAGGGCGTCATTGGCTAACCTGTTGTGCAAAACAAGTGGCTTTAATTTGATGCAATTGCATGCAATGTATACCCCATCTAATAATAACCCGCGGATACCATGCGATCACTTCCCGGATATTGATTACCGGCTTTGGTCTGAAGGGGTCGACGATTGCGACGACTCTTGCAAAACAAATCGTATTAATAGCGGTTCTAATGAAAAATATATATAATTTATTTTTTAAATAATTAATATTAAATCACAAATACCGGTATTTTGAATCTTTTTTATTGTGTACAATTAAGGTGTATTAATAGTATAAACATTTTATTATTGTTTCTTAATATGCCCTAGCAATTTAATGAATTTGGCTTGTATTAGGACTTCTAATAAATATAATCTAAATTTAATTACATTTTTAATGGAATAATAGTACAATAATAATAATAAATAATGATAAATATAAATTTGTTTATTTATTATTAAATATTATCCATATTGTTCAAATACAGTACTAATTCATTATAATTTAATAGCGTTTATAACTAAATTATAACATAATTAACAAATATAATTGTTGCATAATTTAAATTAAATAATTATTATTAAATATAGTCTTATCATCGATAGCGCGGCCGCCTTCACACGTGACAACTTAACAATATGGTCAAAATTTTTGACAGTCCTCGCAGTCTATATACTGACCGCCGATATTAACACTATTACCATAATGTGCTTTAATAAAAGGCTTGAAAATGCTTTCGTCCAAATATTTGATAGGGTTGGGCCGTTTGAAAACTTGTAGGTTTATAACTGTCTCACGTTTGGTCCGTACGAGTGAATGCAATGCAAAACTACTGCTATTAATGTTGTGGCTAGGGTTGCCAACTGGTCAAGGTTTGCCTTGATTTGCAAGGTGAGAGGGTTTTAATCAAGGTGAAGGCTTGTAGCAAGAAAACTTGTAGCTAACAAATAGGCTCAGGTATATTTGGCTGTATTTCCCGCAGACTCTGAGCGTATTGTATGTAAATGTTGTCGAAAGTGATGTCTTTGAGTACATCCAGTGTTTTGTCACCACTTTTCAAATGAAATGTCTGGAAGTGTTTGTCTTTCTTTGGCAGACCATCGCTAAGGCGTTGGAAAAGTGTCCTTCAAATCCTGGCTATGGTTATTATCACATACGATGACATCTTTCCCGCATTTACACGGGTTTAGTAGCGATTTTTTTGGACATTTGCCCTGAATTTCAACAATTATCAAGTTTATGATTATGGCGCCAATTAAGTGTTTAAAATCTGTCAAATTAAAATTTGCATGTTAAAATTCATTATTATAATTCTACAGAGAGAGAGAGAGAGAGAGAGAGAGAGAGACGCATAATGTTAACTTTTCTACTTAAATTATAAAACTGTTAATAATTTATAAATATAATATTATTATTTTTTAATTATCAAATATCTCAAATTTTTGAAGTGCGGGTTATTTATGGGTGCGGGTAATGCAAGGAATATTATGGTAGTAATAATAATCTATAAGCACATTAAAATACAGGTACATTAGACATGTGTTTTGTTGGTTATTAATTTACTTACTTGAAAAAATACTTTTTTTTTGTACATCTAACACTTTTATTTAATAAGTTTTGCAAACAATTCAACAACTATTTTAATGATCTAAAATATTAACATTTTAAATGTTTTATTTATTAGCTAATCAAATCTATTAAATTGAGATTTAGAATTTTTTAATTTTAAAATTATTATTGTAATTTTAATGATTAGTTAAATAATATAAAAGTTAATGTTATTTATTTAAAAAAAATAATTTTATAAATAAATATAATGATCAAAAATAATATTTACTTTGTTATTTATCTGTTTACATTGTGTATATTTTACATTGATGAACATGTTGCTAGTCAATTTAATGGTATGTCATTAAGCTATTTAAAATATTTTATTTATAGATAAACCACGGTATAGATTATGCTGTATGGTTACAATGTTCATTAATAATTTAGGCATAAATGATGGCATAATTCCGGGACTCTTAACGAGGCATTCAAAAGAAGGGTTTAATTACACAAAAGAATATTTCCCTGAATTAAACCGAATATACGGACAGTATTTGACAGACACTGTATTTGTGGGCAATTGTACGCCAGAAACGGTCGGAAATATCGCCGACATTACCGATCGGGACATACGAGTGGCTATAGAGGTGGCCATTCAGGGGGTCAATAGTCAGCGCCAATTGGACAGGCAATTGGTGGCCCAAATTCCGTATTTGAGAAATTTTAGTCATTTTATAACCAATGCTAATTACAAAACCAAATTCAACGAGCTGGTCACAAGAAACCTAGCCCAAATGTAAGAAGGATATTATATCTAATTTAATGCAATATAATATTATAATCTATAGTTGTAATATTACCTTATCTATTATAGTACTAATAAATATCAAATTATCAAGTATAATGTAAAAATATAGTTAAATAAACGCCACTGAATACTTTCGTATGAGAATTTGCCCCATTAGCCAGAATATATGTATTACAATAAAACCATAAATTTATACCATGGATTATCTAGGACATGTTTTAACTGGATTGTTCATTGTGTAACTATTGTATCTCATATATGAATAGAATTTACTAAAATGTCGACAATTATATATTATTTATATTATTAGAAAATGTTTAACAAAATACGATACGGTAATAAACTTACCCGATGTTCGTGTGCCGGGAGTGGTCGACACTGACGGCCAGTTTTGTGAACTGCAATACTCTCAAAGCCTTGGTATCCGATGTAACCCTAGCTATAAATACCGGCGCATTGACGGCAAGTGTAATAATGAGCGGCAAACCAATTGGGGCGCAGCTTTCCATACAATGCGACGGCTATTGCCGCCAGCGTTTGCCGACGGCGTGAACGCCGAGCGCCGGCGCGCGATTGACGGACGACAACCGTTGCCCAACGAAAGGCTTATAAGCAACCAGTTGTCGGCTCCGCACCGACACACTGTCCCACACGACAGGCGCCGCTCGTCAATGCATATGATATGGGGTCAAGTGATGGCTCACGACACCATTAAATCCCTGCAATATTTTGGTGATGAGTTACCGTGTTGTCGGATCCCACAGCACCCGGAGTGTCCCTCTGTCTACACCCCTGTACCCTCCGATCCGCTGCTTCAGGCGTACAATCAGACCTGTATTGTGGACTCGCGGTCTATAGCCGGAAATACCTGTCGCTTAGGTAAATAATATTGGTTAAGTTTTAAATATTATATCTATGTATTGGATTAAATGGTAAATAGGTGCCTTGAGCGCCTTCTAGTGTCGCTAAAATTACAAAAATGCTATCATTATTTAAGTTAACATTCTTAGGCACCAGAAACCAAGTTTCAAAAAGATTGGTTGATTAATGTTTATAATGGAAATTTTTAAAAAGTGTCAGTTGGAATTATTCTGACAAATTTGCACCAAAATATTTGGTCAAAAATTATCATATTTTTAAAGTGGAAATATTTTCACAAAATACATATTTGAAGTGACTATTTGGTTACTGGGATTCAGTAATAGTTATCCGACAATAGTTTAAAGAAGATATCATAACTTCAACCATAATGAGATTCAAATGGGAACCGATTAAATATAGGCCGCCAATCGGGTTAACTACCGATAATGATATGGCCACAGTTGGGGTACCGGTCACTGTTGCCCGTTGAATAGCATATGATTAGATACATTAAAGATTGAAGATTTTAAAAGAGTAAGGGTTTTGTATTATCTCTATTATTGTTTGAGCATGGTCGATTTTAATCAAAATTCACCCATAATTTTTACCGAAATAAAATCTCTCCCATAGGAATACATTATATTGGCGGGTGTCATATGAAATATTCCTGTGTCTTAACTATTGTTGCGAATTCTATTAAACTTGGTTTCTGGTGCCTAAGAATGTTACCTAAAATAATGATACCATTTTTGTAATTTTAGCTCCACTAGAAGGCGCTCAAGGCACCTATTTATCATTTAATCCAATACAAATAATGATACCATCTAATATTTGACCGACTTACAGGTGCCCGGGACCAGATTACGGCCACTACGCCCGTGATGGACTTGTCGCAGTTATATGGGTTTTTCGATGCCCGGGCCCGTAGTTTACGTACATTTAGCAAAGGTCGTGCGTTATTTTGCTTAACAAATGTGTTTTATCTATTTTTAATTATGTGTATATTTAATTTACTGCTCATAACAGGAAAATTACAAACAAATAAATCGTTAAAAGGCGACGATATAATGCCCGAAGCGATACTACCCCGCGATCAGGACATACTTGACCTGAACCGATGCACACCACCGGTGGACAGGCCATGGCTCGGGTGCATGAAAGGGGGCGATGGAAATCGCGTGAATCAGCAGGTGGTGGTCACCTCAATGTTAACCACGTTGCTTTTGCGCCATAATCAACACTGCGATGGTTTGGCGCTAATCAACCAACACTGGACCGATGAGATACTTTACCAGGAAGCTAGGTAAAAAAAATGGTTTACAACATTGTGTTTTGCAAGTTATTTAAATTTAATGTATGTTTGTCAAACATTTATGAACATTAATTGTGAAAATGAATGTATTTGTTTGAAATCAAAATGTAACATTACTAATGCCCAGTGACCGCAAAGTTATATATAGTACTATAATCACGCATATAATGTTTATAGACAAAACTCGGTCGTTTTCGGCCATTGATTTTAACTAGTCTGTTTATATCAATTCTATTTTGTTAGGCGATTATTACTCGCAGAATACGCGCAAATAACGTACGCTGAATATTTGCCCTCGGTATTTAACCAGAAGTTTATGGACTTCTTCGATCTCAACGTTAGACCTTATGGCGAGTTTAGTGAATACAACCCCGATGTTAGCCCCGACACAGTGCAAGAGTATGGTGCGGGTGCGTTTCGGTTTGGTCACTCTAACATTGACTCCATATTCCCGGTACTCAATGGCAATCCGTTGAATTCATCGGCATTTAAATTAAGATTCAATTTTGAACAAATGTCTGAACTATGGGACGGAAATGTAAGGCTAACTACAATATATAGTAATATGATTATGATCTATTATTATAATTAGTTTAATGTTTAACACTTTTATGTAATTACCAAATCAGAGAAGAGGCATAATTAAGGGCCTGTGCGAGAAGCACGAAAAAGTGACCGAGTTGCATTATGTGGACGATGTGAGGAATTATGTGGTTTTTAACCCGTCCGAACCCAGCGTCACTGATTTGTTTCATAGAGACATATTCCGGGCCCGGGATCACGGATTGGCCCCATATGTGTATTACGTCCAGTACTGTACGGGTCGTCACATCAAACGCTGGTCTGATTTGCAGCCATTAATACCGATTGATATACTAAATGAATTGCGCGATGTTTACAAGTAATGTCATCTGATATACTATATTATTGTAAAATATAATTAAACATATGTAGGGATTGTAGTGGTGAAATTTAGGGAATCTTTATGACTAAATTTAGCCTAAAATTTAGAAATTATATATTTCAGCTACTTTAGAGTATCTAATTTAAAAACATATAAAACTTTAAGCTATAGTTTCTAAATTTAGCCTAAATGAAAAATTCATTTAAATATTTCTATAAAATTTTTATCCCTAAACATATAACTTATTTTAATGAAATATGTGTTTTTATATGCAAAACACATGCATATTATGCACAACATTACACACGCTTTTCACAATATTTTATAGTACAAAACGTTTTTATTCCAAATGTGTCTTACATATAAAAACACATATTTCATTAAAATAAGTTTTTATCTAGGTATTATTTTTTGGTTATTATAATAACTTTCTAAACATTACTCACAAATACTATAATATTACATTTATTTGTTCAATATTGTCATCAAATGAGTGACATCGAGTAATCTATTGAAAAGTAAATGAAAAAGCTATTGAATATATGAAAAATCATTTTTCACAAATATTTAATTTAAACAACTACCTATTAAATACACTTAAATAAAACAATCTACGTATCTACATGTAATTATTTGATTACAACATGTTTGAATTCATACAGATGATAATAAATTAAATATAAAATACCCGCTCATACTATAGCCGTGGAACTATGGTCTTACAGTAATATATTAGGACAGGATAGTTGTGGTTAGTGTTGCCAACTCGTAAATGTGTAATAGTGGCAATTTGCCTCAAAAGACACTAAAAATAGTGGACAAATAGTGGCAATAGTTTTTTGCATAATATTTATATCTTATTTGTTCGGCTAAGTCAAATCTAAGACAAATTATGGATTTAAACTCTAATACGTGGTAAAAATTCGTGATCAAGGGACAGAAATCATGTCTCATTATGAGCAGGATATAGGACGAATTGTTTTTGACAATTGTTTAGTTTATAACTGATACATTATTAATAACAGTATTTTATTTAAAAAACGTGTTTCGCTATCAGTATTGAATTATAATTCCAAGTAATAGCAAGTTTCTTAATTACTAAAAATAAAGTTAATTAATGTTTTAAAATCGCTAAATATTTGTAATTGATTTACAAGTGGCACTATTTAAATGTGTCTAAATATTATTAATATTTTTATTATATGAAACATAATATTTTGTTTATTATTTTCAAATTAATAGTAAATTATTTTGTAATCCATAATATAAGCATTGTTAATGACGCGCTGTTAAATATTACATAAATTTATATGTCATATTACTAAATTTTACAATAATACTTAATTTTTGCTAAATTTTTATTAGGTATTTGCAGTATTTTTATCANAATAGAATTTGTATAATTATATTAAAAACTACAATAGTTAAAATTAAAATTTCTCTTGATTACATTTTCAGCCCAATTAGATAATATTAAGTCGAGGGCGTCATTGGCTAACCTGTTGTGCAAAACAAGTGGCTTTGATTTGATTCAATTGAATGCAATGTATATCCCATCCGATGATAACCCGCGGATACCATGCGATCACTTCCCGGATATTGATTACCGGCTTTGGTCTGAAGGGGTCGACGATTGCGACGACTTTTGCCAAACAAATCGTATTAATAGCGGTTTGAATGAAAGAAACATAGATTTTATTTATTAAATAATTAATATTAAACTACATGTAAAGTTAAATCTTATTTATTGTGTACAGTATATTAATACTCAATATTTAAATCAATAATAAATTATTAAAAACACTTTATTATTGTTGCTTAATATGCTCTAGCAATTTAATAATAATATTTATGATAATATGATTGACCTGTATTATGACTTTTAATAAATATAATTTAAATTTAATTAGATTTTTAATGTAATAATAGTAATAATAATTAATAATAATAAATATAAAGAATAAAGTTAATGGGTAAAATGCCAAAAATTTTATATAAATTATTAAAAAAAATTTTAATTTACGAAATAAATTAGCATTGTAAGCATAATGAAATGTGATATAAATGATGTTCAGTAATTACGTAATTACAGTAATCACTATAAAAAACGTACAAAAAACCATAAGCTACTGAACATGTAGTTATATAATGTTATGGGATAATTATAATATTATATGGTTTATAAAGTAAGTATTTAAAACATGTACATACATATGTATTGGCATTATGTAATACTGTATTAAGCACTAATTATGCACTTTATATGGTCGAGCAAACAATTTAAAATAATCATGTTGCTATCTGAGTGTTTACTATTACTTAAGTTATTAATAATAACTTATTATTTAGTTTAGGAAAACCATTTTAATAAACGCCTTTAATGCCAATTTATATACTGTAAGTTATTACACATTTATGTGGAAATTCATAATGGCATTATTATAGGAATATTCTACCATTAATATGATATAAATTGATCATTTATAAATGCATTAAAATATATTAGAAATGTGTTTTTAGTTGTGTGAGAAAAGCATTATGGTTATAGAAATATTATTTGTATATATAANTTTATGTGGAAATTCATAATGGCATTATTATAGGAATATTCTACCATTAATATGATATAAATTGATCATTTATAAATGCATTAAAATATATTAGAAATGTGTTTTTAGTTGTGTGAGAAAAGCATTATGGTTATAGAAATATTATTTGTATATATAACACATTTAATGATAAGGTTTGCAACAAAATGATAAAAATAATTACATTTTAATTATACCAATTCTATATTTTTTTGATGCATTATTTACCAAATACTCAAAAGACTGTCTGCTAAACTGGCAATTCAAATAGGTTTATTGGCTTTACGATGGTGATTTTAATAGTAGTTTCAATGGTATATAAGTTAATGCTTTTATCCAAAAAATAGTAATTAAACAAAAATATGATTGTAAATAAAAATAACTGTATTTTATTTTTATGTTATTTATTTCACATTGATAAATATAGTGCTACTAAATTTTATGGTAGGTCATTAAACTATAAATAATATCAATTTATATTATAAGATTGGTAATAATCTTCAATGTATAATCTAGGTATTAGTGATGGCATAATTCCAGGCCTCTTAACAGGAGCCCCAAAAGGAGAGTTTGATTACACGAAAGAATATTCCCCGGAATTAAGCCGAATATACGGACAGTATTTGACAGACACTGTATTTCCTGGCAATTGTACGCCAGAAACGACCGGTACTATCGCCGACATAACCGATCGGGACATACAGATAGCCATAGAAGCGGCCATTCAGGGGGTCAATAGTCAGCGCCAATTGGACAGGCAATTAATCGCCAATAATTCATTTCTAGGAAATTTTAGTCATTTTTTAACCGATGCTAATTACAAGACTAAATTTAATGAGATTGTAACCATAACGCTGACCCAAATGTAAGTATAATACATTTATTTGTTTATGTTTTGTATGATTTAAAAGGAAATATTTTACAGTTCAAATGGCCTAGCCCATTCTAATTGGTATGGACATGTTCAGTACGGTTCATAGATTAATTGTGTATTGGGATAATCGGCGAATGGCCAGAAATGACCGAATTATGGACAAAATTCAAAATAAATACATAGAATTCAATTGATTTTACGTAGCGTTAAAGGTATTAAAAAGTTGTGATGAATGGTGATTCACACATATCACAGGCCATTCAACACAAGTCTACAATAATGTATGCATTAAATGCTATGAATTTATTCTGAATTTTGTACATAATTCGGTCAATTCTGGCCATTCGCCGATTATCTCCATAGTCAATTAATCTATAAACCGTACTGAACATGTCCATATCAATTAGAATGGGTTAGGTCATTTGAACTGTAAAATATTTCCTTTTTAGTTACTAAATACTAAATTTTAGTATTAAACAGTGTATAGCATTAACAAAGTAACATGTAGCAGAACTTTTTAAATCAAAGTAACTATTGTAACAATATATATTTATTATACAGTATATATCAAAATAAGCGCAAAGGGTATAAAAGCGTACAATTGTTGTGCATATATTGTATTGATGTAAAACCTAATTGTGTAAAACCTAATGTAAAACCTAATTGTGTAATATTTTTAAGCTTCAAAGAGCTAATGTATTATGTCACATAATTTATGTGTATTTCTCACATTAGTTAGCATTAATTAGCGTTAGAGCAAACATTCATTTAATTACAATTTTAACAAATAATTACAACTCATAAAAAGTATATTTAATTTGTATTAATATTAGAAAATGTTTGTCAAAATACGATACGGTAATGGAGTTACCGGGCGTTCGGATGCCGGGAGTGTCCGACACAGACGGTGGACAGTATTGTGACTTACAATACGCACAAAGTCCTGGTATCCGATGCAACCCTAGCTATAAATACCGGCGCATTGACGGCAAGTGTAATAATGAGCGGCAAACCAATTGGGGCGCAGCTTTCCATACATTTCGACGGCTATTGCCGCCAGCGTTTGCCGACGGCGTGAACGCCGAGCGCCGGCGCGCGATTGACGGACG